GAGCCAGCTTCCCTATACAATTGCGAGTGAACCTACAAGACATTTCCTACAAGAGAGGCCTGGTCTCCTCCAGACATGGAAGCTGCCCTCCAATGGTGAGTGTGAGAAGGGACACCCAAGGTGCTTCCTCTTGGGGTGTAGCAGTGTGGCCCGCCCAGGTATGTGGAAGAACTGCTCCTTGTTCTTTCTCTTACAGAAGTCTTTATCGGTGTGTTAGCCAGGGTTCTCTAGAGGGACAGAACCAATAGGATAGACATATATATAAAGGGGAGTTTATTTTATTTTCGTTTTTATTTTACTTTTTTGAGATGGAGTTTTGCTCTTGTTGCCTAGGCTGGAGTGCATTGGCACAATCCCAGCTCACTGCAACCTCTGCCTCCTGGGTTCAAGTGATTTTCTTGCCACAGCCTCCCAAGTAGCTGGGATTACAGGCATACGCCACTATGCCTGGCCAATTTTTTTTGTATTTAATAGAGCCGGGGTTTCACCATGTTGGCCAGGCTGGTCTTGAACTCCTGACCTCAGGTGATCCACCCATCTCGGCTTCCCAAAGTGCTGGGATTACAGACGTGAGCCACCGTGCCCGGCCTAAAGGGGAGTTTATTAAGGAATATTGGCTCACATCGTCACAAGGTGAGGTCTCACAATAGTCTGCAAGCTGAGAAGCAAGGAAGCCAGTCCAAGTCCCAAAGCAAAAGAACTTGGAGTCCGATGTTACAGGGCAGGAAGCATTCAGACCCAGGGGAAAGATGGAGGCCAGAAAACTAAACCAGTCTAGTCTTTCCACGTTCTTCTGCCTGCTTTTATTCTGGCTGTGCTGGCAGCTGATTAGATGGTGCTCACCCAGATTGAGGGTGGGTCTGCCAGTCCTCTGACTTGAATGTTAATCTCCTTTGGCAACACCCTCACACACACACCCAGGAACAATACTTTGCATCCTTCAATCCAATCAAGCTGATCAAGTTGATACTCAGTATTAACCAACACAGTTGGTATAGCTGCTATGAAGGTTTTCTTAGCATCTGAAACTCTTTGAGCAGCAAAATTCTGCTCCGCGTCCTAAGCTGCATTGAGAATTAAGCTTTGCAGCATAGATGGAGTAAGGCTGTCGTGATCCTATACACGCTGTCAGAGTCTCTGCATGTATGGTGAAGCTCCAGGTGCCTGACACACGACGTGCTCCACCCTGGTGACCTGTCCACTCCAGTGAAACTCCAGCTGCCTGTGCCTATGTTTAGAGGCACACTGTCCCTTCCAATGAAGGGCTGCCATTTTTCTCTATTCAAAAGAGGCCATATCTGTTTGATTTATCTTTCTATAAGTCTGATCATGGATAACTTAAAACCCTGAATACCAATAGTTTTCAAGAAAGACAAATCCAGTTTCAGGGTTGGCATCAATTTATGAGAACAGCAAGTGCACAGGCATCATCAGAATCCCCTATGGATTTAAAACAAATGTCCGTGCCTGGCCCCACACCTGGAGATCCTAATGGAGTAGATCTAGAGTGGGCATAGGCGTCTGTGTTTTATTTTGTTTATTTTTTTTGAGACAAAGTCTCACTCTGTCACTCAGGCTGGAGTGCAGCAGTTGAACACCTGGGTTCTCTTCATGTTGCCCAGGCTGGTTTCAAACTCCTGGTCTCAAGTGATCCTCCTGCCTTGGCCTCCCAAAGTGCTGGGAGTACAGGCGTGAGCCACTGCACCCAGCCACATCTGTATTTTTAAAAGTCCCATAGATACAACCCACATACCCATTGCAGGGGACTGATACACAAAGTACGGCTTATCCATGCAATAGAGAGCTAACTGCTCAACGATAAAAAATAAAAAAGCTGCTGATACATGCAACAACACAGAGGAATCTTCTAGACATCAGGGTAAGTGAAAAAAGCCAGTCACCAAAGAATACATAGTGTAAAATTCCACTTACATGAAATTCAAAAAAGGGAAAAACTAATACACTGTATTAGAAATCAAAACTGTAGTTTACACTGAGTGGGGAGAGTGGGATTGACAACAAAGAGATACAAGAAAATTTCCTGGTGGCGATGAAAATACTCTGTACCTTGTTTTACATGATGGTCTGTGTGGATACACAGATTTTCAAAAGTAACAAACTGGCTGGGTGCAGTGGCTCACACCTGTAATTTCAGCCTTTGGGAGGCCAGGGCCAGACGATTTCTTAAGGACAAGAGTTTGAGACCAGCATGGACAACATAGCAACACCCAGTCGCTACAAAAAATAAAAAATTTACCAGATGTGGTAGCATGTGCTAACCACTAAAGTCCTAACTACTTGGGAAGCTGAGGCAGAGGGATCACGTGAGCCTAGGAGTTCAAGTTCACAGTGAGCTACGACCACACAACTGTACTCCAGCCTGGGCAACAGAGCAAGACCCTGTCAAAAACAAAAACAAAAATAAAAACCCAAACACCTAAAAACCTTCACAAATGAAACCCTTAAGAGGTATGAATTTTATTATCTATAATTTATAGCTCATTTAAATAAAATGGCCTAACTATCCCTTTAGACCCCAAGCCAGAGTCTTGCATGGGTGTCAAGGAGTGGCCTAATCAGTTCAGCCCAGCCATAGGCTCAGGAAAGGAAACACTTTCCTGCTCCCTGCCTTATATTATACAATCCCCCATTTTAATGTACTTTCCAGGATTTCCCTCACCCTTTCTCTGTCTTTTGGATTAAAACAACAACAACAACAACAACAACAAAAAACAAAATCCAGGAAACCCAACATAGAACAACCAGCTCAATAAGGAATCCATTTGTCTCTAGACACTGTACCCCTCTCCTGTCTCCATTTCAGCAGCCACATCCACATTCCTGGAGGAAGTTCCCCTGCTTCCAGGCTACTTCAAGGCGCATGATGTTGATTGAGCATCTACTATGTGCCAGACCTTGCTTTACTAAGGCTGCCTCCTTTTCTTTCCAAAATAATCCTGAGAAGTAGATGTTTTTATTGCCCCCCAATTCCAGATTAGTGATCAACAAGGGGAGGTAATATAATGTCCAAAAGTGATGTTTTTAGTTTGATCCAGCTTGCCATAGCAAAACATCATAAACAGCAGAAGTTTATTTTTCTCACTTCTTGAGGCCGGGAGGTCCAAGATGAAGTGGCATCAGACTCAATGTTTGGGGAGGGCCTGGTTCCTACTCATAGGCCGATGCCTTCTTGATTAAGCCTCACTTGGTGGAAGGACCTAGCTAATTCTCTGGCGTCTCTTTTATAAGAGCACAGATCCCATTTTACTCTCATGAAGCCATGAAGTCACCTCCTAAAGGCCCCAATACCATCTCCTTGAGAGTTAGCATTTTATCCTGTGAATTTGGGGGTGGGAACACACACATTTAGACCGCAGCAGGTGACATTAGGTTAAGAGGAGGAGGCGGGCTTAGAACAGTGATTGCAAAACCTCTTAGAATTTAAGACCCCTTTCCTTCCAAGGCCTGAAAGGCAGACAGGCATTGGAGATACAGGTGAGTATAAAAGGGGCAGAGCTCCTCACTCGGCCATGCATTTCATGCCCAGTCGCTAGAATTTAAGTCAACCGAGCCCTCACACACCCAGGCCGTCCCATGTTCTCTGGCTCATCTCTTCTGGTAGCTTAGAAGTCGCAGCCTCAGGGAGACTTCTTTTTGGTGCAACTTAGAAGGAAGCAAGTGGGAAATGCAGAAGTCTTTGCTTTTAGGATTCTGGCTCCCTGAGATCAGAGGAGTGGGTTCCCGTACGGGGGTGGCGAGGCACAGGGAGAAGCATTGGAGCAGACTCTGTGCGTGTGTGTGTGTGTGTGTGTGTGTGTGTGTGTGTGTGTGTCGGCGCGCCTGTGCGTGGAGGGGGATAGCTGTACCCAGCGCGAGGCACTGGGGGAGGAGGAAGCGGTACAGAGATCTGAATAATTGATTCTTCAGCCGCACCAGACGCCCGGGAGCGGGCGGAGAGCGTGGTTCCAACACCACGGACAGCAGCGCGCGCCGCCGCAGGCGCCCCCGTCGCCAGCCAGTCACCTATCCTGGCCTTATTTGCCGCCGTGCGCTCTCGGAACGGGTGGCCGCGCTCCGCGTCGCCGCCGAGGGACTGCGGGGTCTGTCTCGACCCACCTAGGAGAGAGGCTGCGCGCAGGAGACGCTTTCGCCCGCCGGAGCTCCAAGCCTCTTGGGCTTGCGCGGGGGCTACTGCGTCTCGCCGGCTGAGAACAAGTCCCTAAGTTGGTGTGGAGGGCGCCCCTGCCTTCCCCCTCCTCTTCCTCGGAGGCGACCGCAGCAGAAATACGCCCCGGGAACCCGGCTTTGCCAGTGCTGTGAACCAGGGTGTCCAGGCGCTCTCCGGACTCCCGCTGGGAAGTGGAGAGCCGAACGCCCTGCGCGGAGCTGGCCCCGCGGCGAAGGGCCCGGAGGGAGCTGCCTTTCCCCGCCCGCGCCTCTCTCGGCCGGGGACCGCGGGGATCCCCGGCCACACGCGCGCGCACGCTCCCACATTCACTCACACACATTCGCCCTCAAACACACCAGCCCGGAGCTGGGCTGCGGAGAGGGTGCTCCGGCGCGCTCAGAGGACCGGGCAGTTGCCGTCCGGAGTGAGGCAGGAAGCAGAGCTAGGACTCTTGGAGGGGAGCTCCTAGGGCTTGGCCGGATCATGGGACCGGGTGAGCGCTAAGAATCGCGGCCGCAGCCATCAGCCCTGGAGATGACCAGGAGCGGCCACTGCTGAGAACTATGTGGAGAGAGGCTGCGGTGAGTGCTGGTGCGGGACGCCGGGCCTGGAAGGCCCCCTTGGGAAGGGGGAGGTGGGAGGCCTGGAGAGGGAGGGAGCGGCAGGATCCCAAGAGGGTCGCTGCGTGGGAACGATCCACCTCCCTCGGGGAACCGGGACCGCGGGAGCCCGCGTCCTTCCCTCCCCCTCTCCTACTGCCGGCTCGTCGCAAACTCAGCCAGCGCCCCCCCACTCTTGTTACCTCCTCTTTCTCTCCCTGCCCCCCTCGCTTAGCAGCTCCCGGTCGCACAACTCCCAGCAGCCGGCGCTGGGGAGGTGGTAGGGGGTGCGGGTGGAGGTGCCCAGTTAGCTTCTCGTGGGTTGCCAACCTGGGGCTCCCATTCTGCTGTGCACCCTGGAGTGGAGCTCCCGCTATCAGTCACAGGGGCTGAGGATCCGCACTGGGGGCGTCGTGGGCATGGGGCTTCAGCTTCCCCCCTCTTGTCTAGCCCCCCTGGGCGCACAGGGGGGCTTGTGAGCGCTGCAGACTGCAGCCTTCCCCTCAACCCTCCCTCCCCTCGCTGGTGGGCTGACCCTGCCTCTCCTTCTCTCCTCCGCCCCGGTAGAGCCCTGCTGCAGAGCCTCCGGCTGGGATAGCCGCCCCCCGTGGGGGCGATGCGGACAGCGCGGGACAGCCAGGGGAGCGCGCGGGGGCCGCAGCATGCGGGAACCCGCTAAACCCGGTGGCTGCTGAGGCGGCCGAGATGATCGTGCGCGCAGCGCGCCCCACTGCATCCTCGACCTTCTCGGGCTACAGGTACGTCCCAGCGGGAGATCAGGGCTCCGTGGGCCGGGGAGGAGGGAGACTCGACCGGAGGGAGAGCGGGAGAGGTGATGATCAGGCTAGAGAGGGGAGAGGGAAAGCGGGAGGGAGCCCAGCGGCGAGGCGCAGTAGGGGCACCAGGGGGCGCTGCGGCTCCGCGCTCAGCGACGCTCACCCAGGAACGCCGAGGCCGCTAGGAGTTCGCCTCAACTTCCCCCGGCGCCAGCAGCGCCCGGTCTGAGAGGCGCGCGTCAGGTCACGCGTGCACGACCGCGCTGGTATTTTCAGGTACGCGGGGCTGTGCACTTGCCGCCGTTCATGCGTGTGCCCCACCTGAGGACGTGTGAGGACTCCGGCTGGCAGTGGGCACCGCTTCAGCAGCCTGAGGAAGTGCGCAGAAAAGCGCGCGTGCCTATGAGCGTGTGCGGCCCACTGCCCACGTGCACCTAAGACTTGGCAACAGCGCCCGCAGTAGAAAGGCTAGGGAGGGGCTGTACAGTCCACGTCCGTCTGGGAGCTTCTTGGGAGCCTACCTTTCCCCCTACGCACGTTCTTTGCCAGCTCCCACGCGCTGGCCCGCGGGGGGACGCGCCTACTCTCCAGAATTCAGCACTGCACACGGCGCGCGTGAGAGAGGGGGTGTGTGTGTGAACATGTGTGTGTGCATGTGCGTGTGTGCACGCGCGCGTGTAGGGGGTGGGTCCTGGGCCTACTTGCAGTTGAGTGAAGGACTCTTCACGGTCCCTCGGCGCGAGGTGGGGCGAGCCCTAAGTTCCCCCAGGCACCGCGGAGCCTGGGCCCACCAGGCAGCGTCCTCACTCCCAAGCACCTGGCGCGTACTCGGCCTGAGAGGAGCCGGGTCTGTAGTTGGGGCTGGGCGTAGAGCAAAGTGTGTGGCGCACGCGACGGCCTCGCAGGGGGCGGGGTCAGCCAACTAGCTCCACTCTCAGGCCTGGACGCGGGGTCCGGGCGCCGCCTCCGCACGCCCAGCCGGGTCTGTAGTTCGCTCCGCGCCAGCAGGGGGCGGGGTTGATAACTTGGTCCTCACTATCTCAGGTGGGAGGGGTTGGGTGGAGGGTTTATTCTGTGCACCTACGAGCTTGGTGGGGTAAAGAACGCGCGCGGCGCTTAGGGTCTGTGGCCCTTAGCGAACCTGGGGAATGCGGTGGGGGATATGGACAGAGTTGGGGATGAGGAAGCTGGATGTGAGAATGGGCTGGGGGATGCAGAATTAGCTCGGATTGGAGTTGTAGACAGAGTTAGAGACGGATCGAGGGACGTGGATGACGTCGAGGATTGGGAATGGAGTCTGTGATCCCAGCAGCCTATCCAGCTGCTGAGTTCCATCCCTGACTCGTAGAGCAGGGGCCCCGTTGGTAATCCCTTCCTTCTGGTCGTCTTGCTCACCGCGGCCCTGCCTCTCACTCTTCACTTTGCAGGGACCGTCAGTGGCGACTATGGGCAGAGTGGGCTATTGGACCCTGCTGGTGCTGCCGGCCCTTCTGGTCTGGCGCGGTCCGGCGCCGAGCGCGGCGGCGGAGAAGGGTTCCCCCGCGCTGAATATTGCGGTGATGCTGGGTCACAGCCACGACATGACAGAGCGCGAACTTCGAACCCTGTGGGGCCCCGAGCAGGCGGCGGGGCTGCCCCTGGACGTGAACGTGGTAGCTCTGCTGATGAACCGCACCGACCCCAAGAGCCTCATCACGCACGTGTGCGACCTCATGTCCGGGGCACGCATCCACGGCCTCGTGTTTGGGGACGACACGGACCAGGAGGCCGTGGCCCAGATGCTGGATTTTATCTCCTCCCAGACCTTCATCCCCATCTTGGGCATTCACGGGGGCGCATCTATGATCATGGCTGACAAGGTAAGGCCGGGATCTGATGCCCTGCCAGAACCCGGGAAGCCACCAGCTGCAAGGCAGCTGCTGCAGGTCCTCGGACACCCCTAGAATCTGTCTTGATGTGAAGTAGGGGTGGGGGTGGGAGGGTCGTGGCAACTGGCCCAGGTCTTGCCTCTCCAACCCGGAAATGAATGGAAATGTCTTTTGCCTTGTTTCTGAAAATGGTGTACACAGGAGCACTTTGGTGTGGGTGTTCCAGGAAGAGCTCAGAAAACTGAGAAGTAGGCTGTGGGGTGGTGGTGGTGGTGGTAGCATGTTTGGAGATTTACAAGTACCGTGGGGCACAGAGGTGGGCCCAGGAGCACTGGAGATATATGGTTCCTGTTTCCACAATGCCAGTTTTACCTGATTATTTTTTGGGAAAATGTCCATTTTATCCTTTTATGGTAAGTGACTAAAACTATTTCTAAAAATTATTAAATGTGGGTAGGTTCTGGAAAAAAATGCAAAGTTTTTAGGTAAAGCACAAAAGGGCAGAAAAAATGTCATGCTTCCTCCGACTCTGAGAACCCTGGGCCAGAGGAGCGGAGGAGATGCCCCTTCCTCAAGGGGAGTGGGTGGGAGTGGAGATAATTAACTCCAAAGCCAGAGCATGGAGGGCCTGGCATTTTCCTTACACTGTTCTCTGTCTGGGGCTCCAAGGCCCTCAGATGAAAGAGTTGGCTCCTGAACAAAGATGGGTCTTGGTGCTAAAGTTGGAGGGTCTCAAAATGCACGAAAGAGTGTAAAAAAGTCTGTTGACTTCGAATGAGAGAGGGTCTTTTTTTGTGGACAGCCTGGGAGCATCGGTTTGGAGAAGAAGGGAGAGAGATTGAAGATTTGAAGGAGAAGTTAGGACAGCTCGGTTTGGGAACTACACAGAAGTGGAGGGAAGGAAGAAGGCTGGAAGGAAGAAGTAAAGTGAGGAATAAGAAAAAAGGGAAAGATTGGAGTTGTGTGTGTACTGTCCTCTAAGTCCTGAGAAAGGATTGGGAGTTCAGAAGGGGAGAGTAAGTGTACTTGTGTGCCACGGTCTCTAGCCCTGAGACCTTCTTGAAGAATGTTCCTTAGATGGCAGGAGATATTCTAGTGGGGTGAGCAGACATTCACTGTAGCACTTACCTTTTGATGCTCTCAAAGCACTTTTATATTCATCACATCAGCTTTTGCTTCTGTTTCAGCAATTCCCATCAGCTCCTTTGGGAACCGTATTAATTCTTTCGGGTCTCCTGGGCTACAGCACATTCAGCTGAAGCACACAATTGATGCAGTATCTTATTAAACATTCATTTTAAATGGTTTGCAGCCTAGCAGAATTCTTGTGTGTGGTTGAGCGTTTTCCCAGTCACTTCTCAGTTTTGGGGGGCTCTTTTCTGGGAAGAAGATAGTAGGGACTAGCCATGCTCTGCCACCACCGACAATTTCAGAACTGGAGAGGACCTTCGGGTTTCCTGGAGCAACCTGTAACTTTCAGATGAAGTGACTGAGCCATAGGGGACTTAAGGGACTTTGCCAAGACCACATAGTGGGTGATGTAGCTAGGTAGCTGAATTTCTGGTCCCAAGCTGTGATCTTCCATTCCACTAAATCAAGCCCATACTTTAATGATGTCATCCATCTTCAGGAGGGCCAAGGAACCAGTCTTGTTTTGTGGGAGGGGCTGAGCATGGAGAGCTGTGATGAATCACAGCCTAGAGGGCTTTTGTATAGGAGGGGCCAATCTTCTAATGAAGGCATTGAGGAAGAACAGCCGGTTTCCAGCCAGGCCTTGCAGTGTGATTTTGGGATTTAAATATTACCACAGATCCCTTCTTCCTTCTTGAGTTTTTCTGAAGTAGCTATAGACAAGAAACAGTAGCTGTATTGAAAGTGAAATTTCTGGATCCATGAGGGTTTGGCACAACCCATTGGAGAAATCTGGGAAAAGCTGAATTGGAAAAGGTGGTATGAGGTGGGGAGGTTCCAGGTAGGCTTTGGCTCTTCCTTCTAAGTCTCAGCCGATAGGTGTGTGGCTCAGGCTCTCATGTGATGCATTCATCCAACTGTAGGCAGAGAGAAGTAGGAAGAGTGTAGGGTCATAGATAGGAACCCCCTTGATAGGCAGGGACCCTGCCTGCTAATGAATCTTGACCCAGTGAATGGCAGGCTCTGACCAGCTAGACCAGCAACTGTTCTTCCCTTGAAGGAGGCATTAGAAAGAAGGTTCTGAGAAGTCCAGGGAGTATGGGTGGAAACATTCTTCTCTCCTCTGTGATGAAACTGCCTTTTGGGGATATGGACCAAAATGTGACCTCACTTAAGGGTAAGAAGAGAAAAGGAATCAGGAAAGGACAAGAGGAAGATGAGAAAAGACATTTCCAGAGAAATGAAGAGTAGAGGTTTAAGAGGAGTTGGAGACAGAAGAATGAAAGGGTCCATTAGTTGAAAAATGGGGGAGGGCATTTGATACTCCCTATTGTTGTTGGGACTTTCAGAGTTGGTCTTGGAGAGATTGGCCCCTCTCTGTGATTCTGGTGGAACTCTAGGGAGATAAGGCAAGGTGGCAGGGAAGCAAAGAGCTCAGTGGAGGTAACATCAGGGCATATGTCTAGTCCCTATGTGGAACAGTGATATTGAGAGGAGTTGGGTGATATTGAGAGCAGTTGGGTGATACTGAGAGGAGTTGGTTTAAAAGGTGGTATTTTGAGACACTGGGGATGGGTTTAGAAAGGAGATTGTGTGAGATGTGAACATCCCTTCCTTCCATTAGTAACATATGTAGATGGCTTGTACTTCTGCCACCTGTTTCATTTAGAGCTGAACATTCCGTTTATTTGGCTCCAAAGAAACAGTCATGGTGCATTGCTTAAAACTCTGCCTAGCCTGGGTGTGCCAATGGTATTATGACTACAGCCTCAACCACCCTAGATTGATAAGACCTCTGCCTCCTGATAAAATGATGTTGATTTGGTAAAGCCACCCAGAACACACTTTTGTTATTTTTACTTCTAAATTGGCAATATGATAGTGCTCCTGCCGATAAGAAAGGTAGTCAATTTGGTTATCAGTTAAAATGAACACACACACATTTTTTTTTTTTTACCCTTCTCTCTGTCTACTTGACCCTTAAAGAAAACAACAAAGCCTTATGACAATCGAAATGTCATGCAAATGTGGCAGATTTTTGTGGTGTTAATTTAATTTACAACTGAGGTGTTAATGTTTTGCTTGCATTGTTGGGTGGTCTTGCAATACAACTAAATTAGAGGTGAAAATAAGGCTGGTTGAGGTGGTTCATGCCTGTAATCCTAGCACTTTGGGAGGCCAAGGCGGACAGATTACCTGAGGTCAGGAGCTGAAGACTAGCCTGACCAACATGCTGAAACCCCATCTCTACAAAAATACAAAAATTAGCCAGATGTGGTGGCAGGCCCCTGTCATCCCAGCTACTCAGGAGGCTGAGGCAGGGAGAATTGCTTGAACCCAGGAGGTGGAGGTTGCAGTGAGCCAAGATTGTGCCACTGCACTCCAGCCTGGGCGATAGAGTGAGACTTTGTTTCAAAAAAGAAAATAAATAAATTAATTAATTAAAGGTGAAAACAATGCTCGATGTAGATAAAGTTCTAATCTTATCTTGGCCATTTTGACCCTGTCTAAGTGAAATACACTCCAGCTGCAGTAATAGTCTCTTGTAAGCCCAGCATATGGGTTAGATCTTTACACTTCTACTCAGTGTCCTCAACCCCTCTCACCCCCCACCACTTCTCTCCTTATTCCTAACTGCTCCGTGCAGGAAAAGACGAGGCTCAGATTTTAGCTATATCCATCCATGCCAGTTATCACTTAGGTTTTGTTTTCTATGTTATTTCTATGCAAACCTCATCTGTCCTACTAGAGTATAAGTCGTTTGAGGGCAGATTTTTTTTTTAAAAAAACTGTGTTTATCTGTGTATGTGTATTTGACGTAACAAATGTTTCTCTCCTCCACAGACATATAAAAATAATGTCTTTTCACTGTAGAGCACTTAGGAAGTACATTAAAATTTAAAGAAGATAAAAATCTCTCTCCAAATCCTATCACCATAGGTAAACACTACTGACACTTTGGTGTATTTCCTTTTATCTATTTAGTCTCATGCTCAGGATTTTATAGTATATATGGTTTTTCTTATTGTGCTTTGCCCTCTGGGGACTTCCTTAGAGGCTTCAAGATTTTCTTTAATTCTGGAAATACCTCAACTGCTGTTCGTTGGATATTTCCTTTCCATCATTATTTCTATTCTCTCTGTCTGAATATATATGCATATATATAGTCATGCGTCGCTTCATGATGGGACACGTTCTGAGAAATGCACGGTTAGGTGATTTAATTGTGAGAACATCACAGAGTGCTCTTACACAAACCTACATGGTATAGTCTGTTACACACCTAGGCTATGTGCTATAGCCTGTTGCTCCTCGGCTATAAGCCCCTACAGCATACTCTACTGTATAAATGCTATAGTAAATACTGTACATAACTGTAATACAATGGTAAGTATTTGTATATCTAAACATATCTAAGCATAGAAAAGGTACAGCAAAAACTTAGAATGCTGGTCTTATGGGACCAGCATTGTGTACTTATGGTCCATTGTTGACCTAAACCTCCTTATCCAGCATATGACTGCACTATATATATATATATATATATATATATATGTATATGTCATTTCTCAATCAATTCTCCATGCATCTTAAGTTGTTTTTCTTTTTTCAGTTCTCTGTACTGTGTTTGGGAAGGTTTCCTCAGTTCTATACTCCAGTTAACTACATCATTTCATTTGTGTCTGGTCTATTTTATTTTAGAAAGAAGCAGCATAGATGTTCTATTATTTTGACTATCAGTTGAGTTATGGATTTCAACAAGGATATACTTTCTTTCCAAGATAATAATTGGTCCCTTTTTTTACTTCCCTGTTTTTTTGCTTTATAAATAACAAAAAACTATTCTCATTTTGTGCATG